GTGCGATTGGTTGGATTCACTTGAAGTTACAACGGATTCACTTGAAGTTTAAAAGGTATAGATCGTCCCGTTTTTACTGTATAATCGGGGCGGAACGCTTCGGTCACGTTTACAATGTGAATATTGTCGACAAGGAGCTACATGACCGCACTTATGATTGACTTCTTTGTTCCAATTCGTAAACACGCTCACGGATGCGCTCGGACAGACGCTTGGTTGTGCAGCCAACCTACTTTGCTTGACAAGAACAAGTGATAGAAAAAATACAGAAGGAAACAGCAGAATCGGGCACTCTATCCTTCAACCGTAGGTACACCAGCCGGCTAGATGTTAATCGAGTTTGAAGCTTTTGACAAAGTATTGAAGATTGGTTCTCGTAGCACGGGTGAACTGAAATCCATTTTGCCTGTTCGCCGAACTTGGCAATTTGTTTGCAAACGTTTCATCACCAGCCGAGGTGACATCATCAATGCTTGTGAAGTTTAAAGCTTAGCCGCGTAGAACGTTTTGTTGATGGTATTCGATAACCTTCTATGCACAATCTCTGCCAAGGTGTTGCCTTTAAATAGTAAAGAAATGTACACAGACTTGTTCTCAGCAATTACTCTCTTGCATTACAGATTCCACCAAGAGCTCCGGGTATCCATTCTGGATAAAGATGTTCCGCACATTTTGGAGTTCTTCAACCACTACGCAAATGACGTTTTTTATTTGACCTGGAGTATCACCTGTTTCTTGATTACTCGGAATCTGATTGTACTTCCCGAATTCTCGCTTCTCTGCTCCCTCCTCAAAGGTGCTGCGTCGGGAAGGTCACTCCTACGCCTGTGACCTGTGGAGTGTTGGCATTCTGCTCTGTGTGCTACTGGTTGGACGAACTCCGTATGCACACAGACCGGGCGACAGTCCGGCCTCAGTGGTGCATCAGATCCAGTCCGAGGAACTGAAACTACTCGGACCACGGTGGTATCGAGTGTCAGTAAACGCAAAGGTAATCCAACTACTACTGCGCTATTGTTAGCTCATGTTTCAGACTCAAACCTAAAACAAACCCATTTCTAAGTGAAACCTGAGATGAATCCATTGAAATTTATTGTTTTCACCTTATAAGCTATGTGATCTAAATTTATCGATGGAGATAGATGCCTATTGTGTTTTGGCTTTTTGCTTTTCAAATTTATCCTTAAAAATTTCATACTAGAGTGGAATGAAGGCACAATAAAAACTGTTAGTGATGCAGAACGGAGGTGATCTTTGTTTGACACCATATTCTTTCTAGGGTGAAACTGATTCACTCTGACTTACATTAACCCAGAGGGGTTCCGCGCAACTTAGGACGGGCAATGTTCTGTTTAGCGGATAACTTTTCATCCACACTGGCAGGACCGTGCAAAAACTACAGCGATAACAATCGATGCAACGGCAGGGCTAGTGGACTGTGCGATTAAATCGCATTTCACTACCTTTATTCCTTAGCCCTTCGTTCCCCTCAAAATGTCCATGCATCAAGAGACTTCCTGTTCTGAACACAGATAACAAAGTATTGAGTCAAATATTATCCATCTATAAGAGCGAACCAAGTAACCATTATTTTTGTCTCATTTTTAATACTGAACTGCAAACGCAAAAATTTATGGCACATTTTATTTTCCCGATATTCTATTTGTTAACACGTACACCACTTGTGATAAGTATTGCAACAATGCAGATGTAAGTACTCTGAAATATGCACTCAATTTTTGGGGTGAAACTGTGACTGTTTTATGAAGGCGGTTTCATAAAATAGAATAAATCTATTTGAACAAACATACAAAGGGAATATCCTGATTCAGATTCTACAACTGGTTCGTTGTTAAAAAATACTTCCGCTGAGAAGAAGCATCAACCAAAAGGGCTGAAGTCTTTGACCAGGTGTGCAAAAGTACGTGAGGCACATCTGGTACCAATTAGGTTTGCGTATTTCGTTCTATTTGATTGAAAAGTAGCACATGCTTCAAACAGCACAATAATAACTCTTCTGTACTGATGACTGAAAATCTAGAACTTTCTTAATTATTAAAAAACAGCCGAGAGAAAAACATTGTGGAAACATTGCCTGTCTGTTTGAAAATAAGGTGGAGGTTTTTGTTTCGGTGATGAAATTTAATTATACGAAATACTGAATTCGTAAAACACTGCTGTCGGACTCCAATCTTGTTCAATCACTCGTGTGAAGTGCGACCACTCCATTTTCCCGTTATCTCACACCTCCGGTATAGACTAGTAGCATTACTTTAATTACACGTGCACAGAACCACTTTTTTGCAGTGCGAACACCCGTTACTATCTGCGCCGTTAGGCTTTTTGTCGTCAATAATTCTGTCGAGCTGATACGGCACAGTGGTCACTTAACATGCAAACATTCGCATACCGATTAGCATCTTCAGAGAGACGATTTTTGCTGTTTAATTGCAACCCTCTTAATTTGTTCCACACTACTCGTTCACAATGGCTAATGTGTCATTTTTGACCGTTCAACAGACGCCATATCGATTGCATATTCACATCCCACGGGTAGGCGGCCGAATGCGAACATTTTTCGTGATACGCGCTCGAACACCTGCTGTTTTCAAATCGAGCCTGTTGGGAAGTTATAGGAAAAAATCACAGCATGCAGGTACTAAACAAAAAGACAGGCCACAAATCTCTTCTGCTAAATGCGGATTGCTGTTCACTACTGACAGGTACCAAATGTTGATTTTGACGTTAAACTGCAGTATCCATGACAGATTTTTCAAATCATCTTATCATTGGTTTCTTGACTTTTTGGAAGTCTAGAGCTACGGTTATCAAGGATCATTTAGAGTGCTCATCGTATTTCGATTGACCTAAGAAAAAGGAAATATAGTTAACGTAAGTAAGTAGATCAGAGTGGTACATTATTCACCGTACGAGGGAAACAGAGACAGTGAATTATTTCTTATGCTTGTTGCCGCATTTGCTATGATAGTACCATTGGAGCAGAAATATTACATTTCATAATGATGCGCCTATATCATTCCAAATTCTTCACACAATACTACAAGTTAACCACTCACATGGTGTACCGCTTATTCGTAGTGTAATTAAATGTCATGCTCATATTTTTACTCAGTGAGACATCCCCGTTCATAGAATGTGCTCAATTCTGCTTTTCCATCACGAAATAGGATCTCGTAACCAAACTTCTCGAGCTGGATCCGATCAAGCGAATTAGTGCGTCCGAGGTACTCACACATCCATGGTTAACCAATCGGGAAGAACTCCCGAGACAGCATTCTGCTATGGAAGCTAGCGAAGAATTGGTTCACAAAGTGAGTCACATATTGTCTTGTGGAGAGATGGTACACCGATTTTACTCAATCACAATTTGGAACAAAATGAGACGGAAGCTGTTTGTGCTACCTTGTTTCCTATTTATATTTGTTGCATCATTTCTGTGTTTGTGGTTCACGGTTTGTACACATGCACTGGTTTTCTTTCAACAGTGAGGCACTCGGCATAAATGAGGGAAAGAAACAAGGAGCAATCGTGAGGATAAGGCAGAGGAAGACAGTTGATGCAGTGTTTGACAGTGCACTTGTAAAATGTTAGGAAAAAACAATCAGTCAATTAAAAGAAATTCCCCACCCCGACACGACTGAACAGTTGTGTCTAATACTATGATCATGATAAAACACTGTGTTTGATGCAATTCACGTGACTTGGTCACAATGGATACTCAAGACTAGATGTAATGAATCACGGGTATTTCGGAACACAAATAAGCAAAACACATCACATTCTGATTTGGTTAAACAGTCAAAATATTGTGCTGTTTGTCAAAAGATGGGGGGGTAGACGAGACCCCTCACCTGTTTCATGACGTCAGGAACTGGGAGCGCATACGTGAATGCATCTAGTTTAGCAGTTCTATTCCCCACCTTCTCGTGACGAGGATAATTTCGCTTAAGTGAAAGAGCTAGAAGCTAATAGCCGCAGTCATAACTGGGTTGGTGAACAACGGGCACTAATCTAACCTAGGGAGGCTACCAAAAACCATAATTCCAATCCTCTTAATATAACGTATATATGAACTGACTAGAGCTCACCCCAGTCACAATGGTCACCCGCTGAATTAGGCGAAAGATCGATTTGGGCACCATCGTCGTGCGAAATAAGTCTGAAGGACGTAAGATATGACTAATTGAATGGCATGTCCATTGTGTACCGTGGTTTAGTTGCAGGTTGTTCCGCAGCATTTTCGGTCAGACATTGGCCAATCGAAAGAGCTGGTTGTGAATCCCCCGAGAAAACTAACCCGTTTTTGATTATCAATCTGGTAATCATGCGCCAAAGATAAAAAGAAGTTCCAAGGTTTGGCGGTACTTTTTGCTCAGTCGAGAAACATTGGGCAACTTTGCAAACCTTTGCTGACGATAAAACAGGATTTTTTCTGTTTCAAAAGAAATTGAAAAATATGATTTATATATCTTTGGAATTCAATGATGTGTACCAATGGACAGTGGACAATAAATTACACCGCATAATAGGTGTATTTGTTACTGTGGGATCCTGTAGTATTCAGCATGATAATCAATATTTTCATGTTAAAACCTGTTAATCCCATGGATACATCAACAGAGGTACCCAGTTCCGAAGAATTAAGTAAGGATACCCTAAATTGATTTAACCTTCTCTGAAGACGTTTACCGAAGAAATTGTAGTGCAGTGGTAGGGTGTGTCATATCACAACCCGAAGGTTATTGGTTCTCGTTCCTACGGGGAAACCAAGTGAATGTAATGCTGACGGGTCATCACAGAAACGATACAGTTGTCCAGTGCTCTATGCCAGGCATTGTGCAGATTTCCATCCCAAACAATACAAACTATTTTCATGTTTCTTTGATAGCCACAACATCATTTTGTTCTTGGGTAAGGGTGCATATATATAAATTTGCCTCACGTGGACAACCCTCAACCGTCGGTCTACAAATGTAGAAATCAATCTAATACTCGGGTTACAGATGACAACTGTCGTCCTCCGCAGTACAAATCAAATGCTAAATGTAGTTATCGTTATTCCATTTCTTTTATCGATTTCGTCTATTTGATCTTTATCGTCCCACATTTTGTTCATGAAATGACAGCCAGTCAGACACCCACAGAATTGGACTATTATCTACCATATGGTGCACTTTATGCGCACTATAGAGGTTAAGAACAGACAGGATACACACATGTTATGGCACATCGCGCTCATCGGGTGTAGAAAAGACATCGAGATGACAGTCTTAGGACAGAAATATGTTTCGATGGACTAAAACAACAGCGATCAATAATATGAAGCAATTATTGTACCGGGGCAAACCACTGTGCACTTCTTCCTTTTTATAGGTGTGTGTGATAGGGCGCCGTTTCAGTGAATTCTTTCATAAGCCTGTACAATCGCATTTATGTGAAACATGATTCGGT